ATTCTGTATCTCATTTTCAGAATGTAATATTTTGGAAATTTGGCAATAACTTGGTCTGACACCATTAGGGGCACACTGCCTGTCACAAAAGAAAATACTATGATAATTCTAATTGCATAATGACTTTGGATCAAGTCTAAATTAATCAATCATCGGAGCTAACAAAGATTTACTTGGGTCTGTCTATTTTCTTGTCCTTAGGACTCGCAGGAATAGATTTTGGGGGTCCAGGCATATGGGTGTGCATGCTCAGAAGCCTCAGGTGTATTATATATGGGGAGTTCAAGAAGAAATCAACCATTGACAGCCTGAACATTGGGTGTATGTCTTACCAGAGTAGAAATGTCAGTTATATGGAACATGCAATCAGCAATATTAATAAATATTATGTTTCAAACAGCCAAACTTGTCTGAATCCCACCGGACTTGCAATGTAAATTATTTGCATCCATGCTCAATTTGTATATGTATAGGACACAATTTTCTATGTCTGGTAAGACCCTAAGCTACACATAAACTGGTTGAGGACTGGACATCAGAGCAACTTCAGAGCTTTACTGTTATCAGGGGTATTAAAAAAATCAAATGTGATCAAATATTTTTGAAAAAAACCCAACACATTTCCTTGTATTTTGTACTAAAACTGTGCTCTTTGTGCATGTTAAGCCATTTGTAGACTAAGATATGATCAGTTTAGCCTTCATAAATGTTTTTCTTTTAATGGATATTGCTACATGTATTTGCATGGTTCCTGCTGTAGTAGGTCATCACACATCTGATACGAGATACATTATTTTTATTGCATTTTCATACTGTCAGAACATTATTAATCTTTGACATTGCCAACGGAAAGCTTTTTATTATCCATTTACAAGGAAATGAAAGATCTTTTGGAGATTTAGCATTGTTCAGAATTAAGCATGAAAGTCAGGGGTTCCTTGTTATGACCCTTAATGTTATGTCTTAAGGGCCCCTGTATTTAAACACCATGAGCCTCAGGTAAGGCGCCAACGACTGCTTAGCTAAGGGCCCCCCTCAATGTTGAACACTAGTAAGACTCATAATAGGGAAGGGAGTAGGGACAACATCAGTAATTAAAGGTTCAAGTATATTACATATCATTATAACTGCATGTACCAACCATGTGCTAGGTGTTATCAAGATAAATGAAGCTATTTGCTTTGATCTGTGTGTATCTCATCTCGTGTAATGACTAAAGGAGGCATTATGTGCCCCGGCTAACAGTGACTGCACTGAAGATCACTGCCACCAGTTGGATGTTGATTGTCATCCATTATTTACTGCTTCAATAGTTCTATGTAGAAATGTCATAATTATGCAGTAATTTTACAAGTTATTTTCTAGAGCTTTCTTTCGAGTTTGTGTATCAGCTGTTAGTGATAAGAATCTTTGTGATGACTGACTATAGTGTCTATGTGGATAGTAGTTTAAAGCAATTACCGTATTCGACGTAATAAACGCCCCGCTCTAATAAGCGCCCACGGTGATATTTGCTAATATATTGGCTAGTGAACAATCCCAATTACGGTAGCAACCATTCCAATTGATCAATGTACACAAGTCTTATTTATTCGTGCATAATACGCTGTACTGTTTTATATGCACCCTTAATTATGGGCAATTAAATTCTGGAAAAATATATCTGTCGTACATAAACATTTCAGGCTGTCAGCATAAACCACGAAATCTATCTTTCAACTTTCACCAAAAATAATATTCTAATAAGAGCCCCCTATTTCTAATTTTGAGAGCGCCCTGGGCACTTATTACGTCGAATATGGTATGTTCGGTGAATTCTAAGTGTCAGATCAGGAATTCTGTATCCAGTCATGATAGTGTAAGTATATAAAGAATGCATGTGAAAATAAATTGTGAAATATTAGTTTATGATGTTATGTACCAGGAATGTCAAATTTACTGAAAAGTGTTCTGTTTTGGGTATTGTTCAATTGGACATATCAGCCATATTGTATGGTATATGTCATTCTTGACCATTTCTGAGCCATCTCCGCTTGTAAAATTTGATATGCAGTAAATATGTTTGATTTTTCAGTTTTACTACATTTTCAAAATTTCCTCTGCAAACTCTGATTTTTTTTGTTGAAGTTACTAGCACTTCCTCTAAACTGTGCTCTCAGTATTCTGATCTGATTTTAAACATGGCTTCCATGGCAGCCATATTGAACATTCCATTTCTGCCCATTGCTCAGCCATATCTGCATGATTCATGATAAAATGTCATATGTAGTAAGTATGTGTTATACTTTGCTGTGTATTGTGATTTTTGACAGCTTCAACCTTCACGTATGGCTGTGTCTGCCAATAGTGCTGAAAAATCCTTTATATAGCCAGTTATGCATGTATTATTGTGTAATTTAATGAACATGATGTGGAGATGTCTGATGTTTCTTGTTCTTCTTTATCCTTGTAAGACCTTTCTGATCTGATATAATATTCAAGAAAAAAATCAAGTGAGGTAAAAGCCTTGTGGCTCTATTTCTTATTTAACACACTTTTATTTTGGGGCCACATAACATCTACACAGTTCTATCATTGTAACTATTATTTTGTCTTTTTCACTGAATAGTGTCAGATAACTTAATTCACACCATTTCTGTTTTTGTAATGTCTGTAGACGTGATCGCCTCAATAATTCCCATGACTACCACTAGTTACAAGCTCATGTTATTGGAGGAATCATTCACATGTGTCAGTGTGAAAAGGAGATAGCGTGAATATTTAATAAAATACATGATAACAATATGTCAATAACACTAGTGCTGTATTGTGTTTGGGTGTTTTTTCACCAGATAATGTGCGTTTAAATCCAACTTTTAAAGGTCGGCAGGCATGCATCGCTTACAAATTTGATTCAAAAAAATAAATCCCTATTTTGTTTGTACATCAATCTAGAACTTTATGATTACTCAAAGACAAAGAAACAGTGTCTCGTCACCAATTTCAAGTCTCAGTGCTATGCACAGTAGTCTCCCTTTAATTCACGATTTCTGTATATATGTGACCACCTTGTTAATTCCCAAAGCTAGTTACCAAAACTCATTATGTGATGAATTATTTACAGTTGTCTTTGTGTGGAGGAGATGGAATGAATATATAATGTAACACATGAAAACTGCTGTCAGTTACAAAAGAAGCTGTTATGTCTAAGTGCATTTTGTCAGCACGATAGCCAGAAGGTACATACGTTGAGTTGTCTTCAAGCTATCGTATCTTCAGTGTGGGGTTGTATGAGAACAGCATGTTTTTTTTCAAGAGGGATGGTATGAATCAATATTTTCCTAGCAACTCTCTATTGGAAACAAAATCCACATCAACAGGACACAATGCAAGTTTATGTTTCCAAAACATTGCAATCTGTTAGTTAGCAACAGCATGTTGATATTTATAATATTGTTCACATTTCACTTGTTCAGTTCTGCTGAGACCAGGGTTTTTTTTGCCATCCTTACACGTTAGTACAAATGTAATTGTCCTCGGGGGATATCTCAGGTCAAGTGACATGCAGGGTAGGTTAGAGCAAAAGAAAATTATCTCATCAAAGTCTTCTCAGCACATTAACATTTCAACATATCTATTATATTTTATTTCACATCAACAGGACCTCAGTGAAATGATGCAGTACATGAACCAAAATCAGTGTAAAGCCTTTTAAATATGTCTCCCTTTGTTAAGCTTCCATGGAAACAATGTGGACTTAATCTCAAACAACTGTAGGCTTTGTTTCTGAGACACAACTCTCACGCTAAAGAATATTTTTGCATGAAACTATACATGTGCAATGACCACATGATCAACTATTGCCTTTTCATATTTTTCAATTTTATTTTTATTTAATTTGTAGTGTTGCCATGGAAACAATTTGGACTAAATCTGAAACAAAAGAAAAGTAGCATTTGTTTCCCTCCAAAACTCTTCAGCTAATGTTCTGCACGAAACCATTAACTTTCCAGGCTATGATTTGCTATGATTGTTTTTTTGGATATGCAAACAGATTTACAGGACAACTTGAACTAATGTATCTAAAAAAAGAAGGGGCAGACATAGGTTTTTGAGTAAAAACACATTCTATTTTTTATTAGTTTTTCAAAATATTTTCAGTCATAAATGTAATGTTAGCATGACAAGTGTCAGCTTCTAAACTAACCTACTAGTCAGGACAGAAAAACAGGAACATTCAACTTGGCAGGACATTCAGTTAAGTGTTGGTTGTTGATGATTTGACACTATACTCAACACATTCCTTTATATTTTCCATGTTATGCACCCGGGTTTTGATTTCCAACTCTAATGTAGTGTCAGGGAGTATATCAGTCCCCTATGGCAGCGGTCTTGTCCTCCAGCAGTGAATCATTTGGCTTACAAGTTCCTGCAACAACAAGTATTTGCATGGTTCAAAATTGACAATTGATTGTCTAAGACTAGTAACCTTTAGAAAAGATAAGTGATTTCAACTGTCGGGTAGCAAATATTTTTGTAGATTAGTGACAATAAAATGTATTTTTAGCCCTGAATTGTGAAAATTGTTTTTCTTCTTATTTCAGTTATTCTATATCAGACATTTTGTAAACCACCTCATTAAATGTAAAAGGCTCTTTCCCTGACTGTGAATGATTCACAGCATCTTATGCATGAAAACTCGTGATTTATGCTTCGAATAACATTTGTATTTCATGTCAGATAGAAAAGAATTGCTTATTGATTTGCAGTGAACAGGTCGCTCAGTCTGACAGTGATGTGATGGTGAATGACTTCATGTTTTCTAATATACAGGGTCAGGAGTAGCCTAGTGGTTTAAGCATTTACTCGTCACACTGAAGGACCTGCATAGTTCAATTCTCCTCATGGGTACAATATGTGAAACCCATTTCTGGAGTCCCCCACCCTGATAAAAGTGGTGTATATCCCAACTCACTTACTCAGTTTCTCTAATATTTTTATGGTGTTTTTGTCTTCTCCAGACCGTCGGCCCAATTTCCTGCCAAGTATAGTCAGTTGCCTTCAATTCCGTCCCCGACCCCTGCCGTGGACAACCAAGTGGTACCATTTCACGGTGCAGGGGGACGGAATGGGATGAGGTCTAGCGTTGACCTCATCGAAGCTCAGGAGAAAGTCAATTTCCTGGAGTCTCGTCTTGGCGTCACAGAGAAGTCAAACCGTGCTCTTCTAGAAGAGGTGTTACGACTACAGAATGAACTCAGGACTTCTGTGAATAAGAATGAGAACACGTTACGAGAAGAGCGCAATGCTCGCCAGCAGGTGGAGTCATCGCTCAAGATGTGCAATGACCTCATCATGCAGCTGTCCACTCGGATCAAGGTCACGGAAGAGAAGCTACTGGAGGAAAGGTCAGCTTTGTCCACCCTGGTCACTCACACCAAGGGTGTGGAGCAAGCTGTACTCTCCAGTCAGCATGAACTACGCACGAAGAAGGACTCACAGATGACAAGGTAGGAAGGAGACAATTATATTTATCATACCTCGATGTCAGAATGATGAGGTCTGATTGGTCCACGTGATCTTGATAAAATACTATGTATCCCGCCTTGGAGGGAAATAAATCCCTGATACCCCGCCACGAGCAAGACAAAAAGCAAAAAGCAGGACACTTTTTTGAGTCAGTGATAGTCATGTGACATAGCTGAAGTTGACCTCAGCTCAATCAAACAGCTGTTTTCTATCAATTTTGAAGAGTTTGTTTTAATTCTTTTACAATGTCATATTAAAACAGTGTCAGTACATGGATTGGAGTTTTGTTCCACTCCACATTTTCTTTTGTTCTTCATGATTTCATATATTCCTGCATGTGATGTATCTATTGTCACTGAATGTCTATTTTGAGTGAGATACCTATTGTTACTTCAGACTCAGTTCTAGGCAAGAGATACAGATTTCTATGTTTGTGTTGTAGAATATCCGAGTTGCAGGGCTCCCTCCATGAGACTCAGCGAGCCAAGGATCAGGTTGAGAAGCAGGTGTTCTCTCTGATGGAGGAACTGAGAGGGTTGCGGAGCAAGGTTGACACACAGAACCAGGAGTTCCAGTCTATAGCCAGCGACCTCAGGATGAGGTCCAAGAGGCTGGAGGAAGAGAACAGGGTCCAGGTGAGGAGGATGTGGATGAGGTCTTGCAAATACTGGCCTTGTAGCTAGGGAGGTATCAGGGAGGCAAGGATGTACAAGAAATCTCACTAGAACTGGCTGATATAGTATGTCAGGGTCCAAATAGGCCCCACTGTGTGAGTCCCCTGTCTCTTGGCTAGACCATGATGGACAAGGGGTCTCAGCCACTAGGCCGAGGACTAGGCCATACATTAACATTGAATCTACTGAAAATGATGCTGAGAGCCAAGTTTATGCTTGTAGACTCCTATTTACTTGTGGCTGTACATTTGTCCTCTGAAATTGTAGCATGTAGAAGTTGGATTTAGGGTAGAACTGGTTCTCTACATTTGGTTGTAAGATCAATTTGTATAATTTTTTTATCTAATGTCATTAGGGGAATATTCTGTATCAAGTTTTGATGTATTTCACGAAAGTGTATTAAGGAAATCAGTGACGAGTGACAGATACTAACATTATAGTCTCCCTATCAAATGGAGATGTTAGTGCTACACCTGCTGTCTCCAGTGTTATAATAATCACTAACGGTAGTCCAGCCTTCATACTAAAATAAAGGCTTCATTTCTACCTGGATGTTTATTTGGATATCATATTCAAGTTTCATCTTTTGTATTATTGCTGTCGTTGTTAGAGGGTAAGTTAAATCCATAACTGTTATGAATTATATTCTATCACTCTAGCATGATCTCATGTGTTTAGACCTCCTAACATCTATTCCACCCTTCATATGTTGATGCTAATCCCCCTTCCAGCTGCACAATGTCCTGCATTGTCTAAGCATGTGTTTAATTCTAAACACTGAATGTGTTGTCCATGTATCAATCTCATTACAATCAGGTCTTTTACTCCATATGATACCTCTCTGTGGGAAGAACCAATCAGATGTCAGCTTTATGAAATGATTCAGTTTCATTTTTATACTCCCTCAGTTTGGAAATTTTGTTCTCAGCAAAAGAAAACCCACACAGAACACAAGTTTACCCTTGACAGCACACCCTCTTGGTGCTCAGAAATGACAGGAAGTATGAAATATCCATTACAATATAATGGTGTGGCTTTATTATTTTGCATTTGGAACTTCCTAGTTATGTTTATTTTCAACATGTAGAAATCATATATGCTTGCCTGAGTGCTTTTGTCACTCATACTGAAGCCTCCTATAGAAGCCTCCTATAGAAGCCTCCTATAGTAGCCAAGATGCTGATTGGCAGATTATAAAGTTTGGAACCTCCTATGCAGAGTTGTAGAGTACAAGATTTGACTTTAATGAGATTTGTCCCTGTATTTATGTCTTTTATAAAGCTTTTAATTAATTATCATAAAGCATGATAAATTAATCATTAGGTATCCATACCTGCTCATCCTATGACCAAACACCTGCCACAAATTATCATGATAATAGTATTGTCCCCATGTACTAACAGAGAAATGTGTCCCCTTATTTTTTTCATTTGACTAAATACACCACATACATATTCCTTCCAAACACTCATGCTTCATGTGACTCACTACTGTTGGCAGTGAAAGTGCACCAATGTCTTCAGAAGTGTTTTATACATGTGGATGGAAATGTGATTGTTAATTCATTGTGGCCTCATTCATGTTGCCGTATTTTGTTTGAGTATAAAGCTTTAATTTAATGAGGAGAGAGAAAACACATACGCTTTCTGTTAAATTCTCATCATGCCTCAAAATTATAAAAATATGATAGTGCCAGTGTTGGTATTAATTTCCATTGTGACAATTTCTCTGTTGTAAGTTCAGATAGTTTTAGGTCTTGTGGATTCTGTCATTGAGCTTGGTGTGATCACATGGCAGTAATATGGGTTTATAGTATGATTCCACAGCTTACATTTCAGTAACATACATGTATATATCCTTTATATCCTTTATGGTTTCATGTATTGCATCCTTTTGAAAAATATGTTTTATTCATTATTAAAAAAAGTATAAAGTTCATCATCTCATACTTCTATACTGATATTGACATACTTGTGAAAGATTTAAGTCTGTTTTCTGCTGTTTTTCAGGTTATTTTGTTTCTCGACAATAACAGCATTACAAGGTTCTAGGATATGACAACTGATATGTTGATTATGTTTACATTCTGATAGTATTGTTTAAGGAGAGTCTAAATACAGATTGAACATTTAGATTACAATAGAACTTATTCAAATCATTTACCATATTTCAAGTGTTTGTCATAATGTAACTTTTGACATTGCAGTTCTGAGAAGGAACCCTTAATTTTGGGAACACTGTAAACTGCTTACTGATAGTTATGGTGGCTGTGATAGTTATGGTGACTGTGATGGTCATGCTTACTGATAGTTATGGTGACTGTGATAGTTATAGTGACTGTGATGGTCATGCTCACTGATAGTTATGGTGGCTGTGATGGTCATGCTTACTGATAGTTATGGTGACTGTGATGGTCATGTTTACTGATAGTTATGGTGGCTGTGATGGTCATGCTTACTGATAGTTATGGTGGCTGTGATGGTCATGCCTCCTGTGATTATTATGGTGACTGTGATAGTTATAGTGACTGTGATGGTCATGCTTACTGATAGTTATGGTGGCTGTGATGGTCATGCTTACTGATAGTTATGGTGGCTGTGATGGTCATGCTTACTGATAGTTATGGTGGCTGTGATGGTCATGCTTACTGATAGTTATGGTGACTGTGATGGTCATGCTTACTGATAGTTATGGTGACTGTGATGGTCATGCTAAGTGATAGTTATGATGACTGTGATGGTCATGCTTACTGATAGTTATGGTGACTGTGATAGTTATAGTGACTGTGATGGTCATGCTTACTGATAGTTATAGTGACTGTGATGGTCATGCTTACTGATAGTTATAGTGACTGTGCTGGTCATGCTTACTGATAGTTATGGTGGCTGTGATGGTCATGCTTACTGATAGTTATGGTGACTGTGATGGTCATGCTTACTGATAGTTATGGTGGCTGTGATGGTCATGCTTACTGATAGTTATGGTGGCTGTGATGGTCATGCTAAGTGATAGTTATGGTGGCTGTGATGGTCATGCTTACTGATAGTTATGGTGACTGTGATAGTTATAGTGACTGTGATGGTCATGCTTACTGATAGTTATGGTGACTGTGATGGTCATGCTAAGTGATAGTTATAGTGACTGTGATGGTCATGCTTACTGATAGTTATGGTGACTGTGATAGTTATAGTGACTGTGATGGTCATGCTTACTGATAGTTATGGTGACTGTGATGGTCATGCTAAGTGATAGTTATGGTGACTGTGATGGTCATGCTTACTGATAGTTATGGTGACTGTGATGGTCATGCTTACTGATAGTTATGGTGACTGTGATGGTCATGCTTACTGATAGTTATGGTGACTGGGATGGTCATGCTTACTGATAGTTATTGTGACTGTGATGGTCATGCTTACTGATAGTTATGGTGACTGTGATGTTCATTCTTAGTGATAGTTATGGTGACTGTGATAGTTATGGTGACTGTGATGGTCATGCTTACTGATAGTTACAATGACTGTGATGGTCATGCCTCCTGTGATTATTATGCTGACTGTGATTATTATGCTGATTGTGATTATTATGCTGATTGTGATGTATGTTACAGTTAGAGTCTATGAGGAAGCAGGGTGACATCCAGACCCAGACTAACAGTAGCACCACCCACCTCCGCGGACAAGTCGAGACCAGGTCAGGACAACTCATCGCCCCCATATACAGTTCTGTCATCTTGAACACATGATTAATCATTGATATTATAACCTTTGAACAGCCTTAAATTTGCTGCAGGGAAATATTGTTTACTTATTACTGTAATTATCAGATTTCCTGATTTGTTTTCTGTAGAATGGGTGAGATCCGTGATGTTATCCTCGATCTGCGGACACGACAAGATCAGGAGTCGACAGATAGAAGAAGTCTGGAACAGACACTTCAGCTCAGGTAGGAATCTGGATCTTATTATACAATAATATTTGTATACGATTGTTATTAGTAAGGAATACTTTATTTTGTTAATTTTTTTCCATGCCCCGTAAGTTAGGAACTATCATTTGATTATGATGGTTATTGATGCACATATATAAGATAGCTACACGATGAATTGCAAAGAACATTGAAGAACAAAGCATTGTTTAATTCACAATGAAACATTGTTCTATTAAGACGTCATTTCTGGAGATTCGAATATGTGCTCGCAACTTGATGACATCATATATTGGATGATGTATTTTTTTAGAGGGAAGTGTTTAGTAAGTTGTTCCCCATAGATGTAGCCGGGCTACACAGATAAATGCAGTGGCCAAACGAATGCATCCAATAAGTGGGAGAAATATGACAATCAGTATTAGGATAAAAGATAGAATTGATTGACATGAGGATTGTGGGAATATGTTGGAAATACCAACTTAACCCACCTATAGGTAAGATGAATTTGTCTGACATTTCCAAGGTCAGATTCTTTTCAGGAATTCATCATTATTAAAATTTGGGTTAACGTATTTAAAGCTTGTACACTTTATCTAATTCCTGAAAGAGGCTGTACATAATGTTGATATCTCATATAAGAAATGAACTACTCGTGGTCATTGTTTATCATCCAATAAAATACTGCAGGGAGAATAAACCACCCAGGGCCCTCATGGTTTATTATATGATACTCACCATTTATTTCTTAAATATTAACCACATGCTTTACAGCGATACTCAATGGGCAATTGCCTGTGTTAAAAGATTGTGGGGAACATTTTAGGAGGTGTTTAATGACCTTGTACTCAGCTGGATGATTTCTCCTCTCAATGTTTCCTTCAGATCAAACGAACTCAAGCAGTTGATCTCGGAGCAGAATCGGAAGCGAGAGGAGTCGATGCACGCACTGGACATGATTGCACGAGAGAAAGAGCATAAAACAGAATCTGACCGGATGAAGCAACAGGCCAAGGTTGCAGAGACTTTGGAGGACATCAACAAGAAGATCCTCAACAAGGAGATCAAACTCCGCGAGGAGATCCAGGACAAGCATGTGCAACTGGAGAAGGTAGATGTTGTCCTATTGAGCAGTCTGTGTTATAGGGTCTCTACACCATCGTCAATACTTCATGGCTTTGTGTACACCATGTTCCTCCATCACCCATGAATACCTGCAATCAAATTACAAAAATTTCTTCTTCAAAAGATGGAAAAACTAGAAAAGTTAATATCTACTTTTTCATAAATGGCAGAGCCTATCAAAGAACACAACAACAACTGATATCAATGTTATGGTAATAGACATATTTACCTTAACTGCAGAGTTTAAATTTCTTGTTGAGAATGGGTACAAATGAGCAAATGTTTATAAAATGATGGTTTTATGTCAAATGAATGTATAAATGTTATGCTATATTGTTTCTCCAGCTCATGCAGAAAGAACAGTCAGCAAGGAATGAGTATGAACGGCGATCTCGCGAAGAAGTGGAGGCTCAGTACCAGAACATGAAGAAAATGACAGACTCTGAAATACAGGCACTTAGAGATCTCATCAAGGTCAGTGATGATCAATGAAAGATCAAGCTGTATCAATAATCAATACACATATAAAATTTGTTGCTTAAACATGAAAAAGTGATTACGTTATTTGATTAGTCTGCAAAAATTGCATGATCATTGCTTTGGCGGGAATATCTGTGGAAGAACTATGTTTACTTTGTCATTATTTGTAAATGCTTAGTCCATATTAACATCATGTTAATTTAAGCATGTGTTTACTTGCACACTGGCATGTTAGGAGGGAATAGAGGTATGTTGTGTTGACCATGCCGGGTCTAGTCACACCACTGGTGCAAACACCTCCTTCTCAAAACCTGCACACATCTTTGCTTGTCCTAGAATCAGACAATGATTTCATCTCTGGTGCAATCAGTGTTTTGATTGTTCATCCTCTTTGTATAATTTCTCTAAGTGTAGACCCTAGTTTATATTTGTTTGTCATACACAGGGTCTAATATTGAATATTGTGGCCAAATTAGGTTTGAAAGATGGATAGATTTTTAATAGATGACTGCATGGAAGACGAACTTCTTTGATAGTGTGCTCCTTATGGCCTGGAGAGAAGCTCATGCGGTCATTCACTCCTGCTTGAATACGCTTTCCATGCTGCTGCCACACTCACTCACTCACTCACTCTCACTCACTCACTCACTCACTCACTCACTCACTCACTCACTCACTCACTCACTCACTCACTCACTCACTCACTCACTCACCCACCCACCCACCCACTCACTCACCCACCAACTCACCCACTCACCCACTCACCAACCCACCCACCCACCCACTCACTCAGGGAAATTATAAAAACCCAAGCATTCTGTGTTTGTGATATCAGCTGGACGAGTTTTTTGCAAAGTTTGCACATTATTTGTCTTCAATTGTTCTAGTCCTGAGAAAAATTAGCTATTTTCCAGATCCTCACTTATGCGCACACTTTCATTCTAAAGATTTATTTGAATTTTATTGGTTTCACATGCATAGGAATTCAATTTTGAAACTCTGTACAGTGTTAGAAATTTAGCGGTGATCGTGAAGTGTTTTGACTATAATCTTTAAACTGAAGTAAGTATGAATGACTTAACCTAAGGGTTATGACAAAAACCTTTTGACTTTCATTCTGTATTTAATTCCTTGGACAGTGTTGTGTGTATGTGTGTCCCCTGTATGTATACAACACTTGACACTAGACAGGGATCCTCTCCATAGTGTTCTATGTTTTCTTCCTGCTAAACCCAGTTGCACTTCACTTTACAGATTTTCTCAGTTCACAATATAACTGTACACATTTTCAATTTTTGCAATTAAAATGATATTTTCTTTTGTTTGATATATTTATCATACTGTTAACAATATATTTAGTCACTCATCATTCCTTGAAAGTAGATTCTTGAAATGTTTAACTTCAGCAATATTTCATCCCGAAGAAGTTCGGATAAATGAATTCTATTCCACTTACACTGTAACTAAAAAGTTATGAAAAACTTCTTGTGTAGAACTTTACAGTTACAAGAAATAATTATGAATACTGATATTATCCAATCATTCCCATTGCATGGAAAGCATTTGATTGTAAAACATGATTGTATGAAGATAGATAAGCTTGTTATTCTTGAGTGTACTGTTTTCAGAATGACCGCAGCAAGGGCAAGGAGACCCTGCTGAAGCTGAACGATGCCATCACTCTGCTGGAGAAACAGATGCAGGAGAACAAGAAGCAGGTGGACAAGATACTCTCTGCTGAAATCAAGTCAAGGCATGTTCTTTACCATTGTCTCTTGTGGAAAATAGAAAAGTCAATAGTGGATTTTGAAATTGTTTAACAATGCTCTTGATAATTTTTCCAGACAGTGTTAGAAGTTAAGAAGGATCCTTGGAGTATTGCATATAGTGTTTTGATGTTAGGACCGCTATAATCTTTAGTTCTAAACGTTAGGATTGTTTTATAGATCCCTTGACTTTTCTCTGTAATTTCAAACACTCCAGTGTTAGAATTTGGTACTAGTCCTGTAGTCATTGCCAAACTGCCCAATAGTTAAGGTATGATAAGGACTAGTACCGGAGGTAGATATTTGCCATTTTTAAGGGTTTTGCTATATATATCATAATAAGGACTAGTGGACTGAAAACTGTTAGTTTCTACCGCTGCACTCCAAGGGCATCTGATGTGATATATGTGACGGGTGATATGACTATAGATTTTTCTGTCCATTACAGCGAAATTGAAATCTAAACATTGCAAGTCAGGTCTATAAAATTTTAATACTGACTCATTTAACATTATAATGTTTGGTTTGTCAACCCAATACTTATGCTCTTGGGTGTCATTAAAGTGACAAGCACCTACCTGTCACTTGGGTTTTCCTCCCACATTCAACGCTTCAGTGGTCTAGTGGTAGAGCGTCCGCCCAGAGAGCGGAACGTCCGGAGTTCGATCCCCGGCCGCATCATACCAGAAGACATTAAAAGATGGAACTTGTTGTTACTCTGTTTGGTGCTTGGCATAAAAGGGCTAAATCAAGGACTGGTCGGCTCGGAGTATGGTATGCGGCATGGTATCTCAGTGAGCTAGCACTATAAATCGGCATCAGTCTGGACTAGTACAAGCAGCCACACACACACACACGTGCATGCATGTCGCTATATAAGTGCAATCATCTTGGACGCGACGTTAAACCCCATTTCACCTCACCTCACACTGATGTGCTGTGTTGCTAAAACACTGTTCAATGTGATGACAAACTCACTCTCTCATAAAGGAAGTTGATATAAAGTCTGTTTTCCCAATAAGCAAGTTCCCTTTGTTGATTGTGTGTATCTTTTGTAGGAAGGAGAGAGAGAAGAAGACTGATGACAAGCTGGACAATCTGCAGGAGAAGTTGGCTGTGGCCACTATGACACTACAGCAAGCTATTGGGGGAGTGACCAGCCAGCTGAGTGACCACACGGACAAGGTACAACATACTTTCAGTGGGTAGTCTAGTGGTTGTAGTGTTTGGTCATCACACTGAAGACCCCGGTTTGATTTCCCAGAGTGTGAACCCACTTTTGCCAATCTCTTTTGTTATATGTGGCTTGAATATTGCTGAATGGCCTACTTACTCACTAGAACGAGAGAGTATATATAGAAAATCTCGCCCAAGTGTCTCTTGATATCAAATATATCAACATGAGTTGATAAAAGTGGCAAAACTCTGAGGCTTGCCGAGGAGTTTTTCCAGTTTTATCAATGAGTGTTGATATATTTGATATCAAAAGACACGAGGGTGAGATTTTATTTATCATCCAACATCATTCTTCTAACTTTTTCAGTTTGTAGACAGTAATAAACAGAGTCTTTAGTCTAAAAAGTACTGCTGACAGCTTCAGTAGCAGAGCCATTAGTGATGTCATTTGATTGTGACGTCATGGTAACCAATCGCCTTGTAGAACGGGACCTTGCACCTCAAAGTTTACAATCACGTCACAATACCCGATGACGTAATTTGTGGAATTTTGTTGCAAGATCCTTCGGCGAAACAATGCCATGTGACGTCAATCTAGCAACAAGGTTGCTGGGGTCATCGAGTGTGCATAAGCTCCTCTCAGTGATCTATCATCTCCACACGCAATGTCGTTGAATAAGCCAAGGGATGTTGAGAGCTTTCAATATTTGTTCGTGAAACGTGTTCCGAGAGTACATAAGCACGCGTTTTGGTATTTGTAAATTTAGAAACAGGTTATTTATGTATTTCTAAAACTAGTTTATGTGTATTTGCTAAATTGCTCTCAGGTACGGACGGAGGTGAAAGATTTGTTGAAAGAACAAGATCAGTCATCAGCCCGCGCCATGACAGATATGGATGCTCGCTTACAGAATATGAATAAGAAAGTGTCTGGCATTGAAGGTGATGTCAACAGCAAGGTCAACAAGGTAGGTAACTCTTCTTGATAAGTGCTTATTACACAGATGTGGTGCTATGGATCTGTTGGTGTATTAGTAATGTAGTATTATGTGTATGTATACAAATGAATATATGAATTAGTTGTGACTCTTTCTGAATAGCATGTGTATCTGTTACATCAACTTGTATTTAATACATTGATCTGTGCAAACAATTGACTGTGGTAGGCAGTGGGAGTAGCCTTGTGGTTAAAGTGGTCTCTCGTCACGTCGAAGGCCTGGGCTTGATTCCCCACATGGGTACAATGTGTGAAGCTCATTTCTCGTGTTCCCTGCCACTTATTAATTGTGGCCAGAATGACTTAAGTATATATCATATATATGATAGATATTAAATCTGGTTTCAGTGTGTAATGTATATACATATTCCTGTCATGCATGCATTAAATATTAAATGTTGTGTATTAATATCTTCAGCTTGCATTGCTAAGTAACCCAGAGGTATATCAACCATCATTAATAAGTGTTGTTTAAAAGTCCTAGCTATTTATTATTTTTAATTTTTTTAAATAGCTATTGCCATACGTGGTACTTTTTAATCATTTCATATCTGCTGATACATGTACACATGGTTTGTTAGCATGCTGCATGTCGATGCCATTGCCATGTCCTTATGTCCTTATGTCCTTATGTCCTCATGTTTATGTCCATGACATGTTAAATGGATGTCAATGTCTGTTGCGTCCTGCATGAAATATGTTGTGAATAAGACCAGTTATTATTTCATGCAATACCCACATTATTCCTGCATGTACAAACATTTAAATATCCATGTTTATTTTTCACCTTTTAAAATCCAACATTCATATATAATGCATGTGAAATGTCAGAACCTTTTCTTACTAACTGGTGGAGCCCACTGTTATTTGCTTTATATAAATGATTCACAATAGACCGCAATTCTTTCTTTTTAACATTTGATATCTACAGTATTAAAAAGTTCATTAATAATTGATAAACGGTAGTAACTATTTTGATATTACAATCTTCAAGTTAATGCATGATATTGTTGTTTCTTTCATATAAGGTAATGTATATGTACCTTTCATATATTTTGTGTAAGAGGACAAGCCTTTTTGCACCTTTACACATGCAAACTGCTTGTTTAGTGAGTATATCATCATCAAATATTTGAGGTTAAATCAGCTGTCTGCAAACACAGTCCCTGAGACCATGGATTTATAAATGCTTACTTGGGACAGACCAGATCTAATTTGTTGTCAATGTGTCTGTCTTTGTTAACACTGATTATTCATTGGTTAAACTCTTAAAATGTTTGGGGGGTTTTTATCATTCAGTTTGTTTTTGTTACAGAATTCAATTAAATCACTAATTCAAGTATTTTATTTCTTGTGTTTTTATATTCTTACTCAGGATAAATATTTCTTAGCAGAGAAAATTATTGCTTGTTTCGGGGTCTGACATTGTGAACATATATAATATACATGATATATTTCTTTACTTGCTGCATGGCAGAGACAGGAACACGGAGAGGTATATCTTCCACCCTCAGTTGTCTCCCTTATACAGCTGACTAGAAGCCCTCCCTTTAATGCCCCACAGCTCTGCATGTTCTCTCAGTAATCAGTAATTGCCAAAATGAGAAATGGGACTCAGTAGCTCTGCATGTACTCTCAGTAATCAGTAATTGCCAAAATGAGAAATGGGACTCAGTAGCTCTGCATGTACTCTCAGTAATCAGTAATTGCCAAAATGAGAAATGGGACTCAGTAGCTCTGCATGTACTCTCAGTAATCAGTAATTGCCAAAATGAGAAATGGGACTTAGTAGCTCTGCATATACTCTCAGTAATCAGTAATTGCCAAAATGAGTAATGGGACTTAGTAGCTCTGCATATACTCTCAGTAATTGTCAAAATGAGTAATGGGACTAAGTAGCTCTGCATGTACCTCAGTAATCAGTAATTGTCAAAATGAGTAATGGGACTAAGTAGCTCTGCATGTACTCTCAGTAATCAGTTATTGTCAAAATGAGTAATGGGACTCAGTAGAATTCAGAAAAAGTGTGGAAAATCTTCCTTGCATGTAAATAATCTAAAACAATGATTGATTTCATTAAGACTTGGCACCTAAAGGGATTCAGGGTAAGGTCCCCACCAACCTATGCTTGTCATGAGAGAAGTTGAACTTTCTTTTTTCGTGAAGCGTAGACTGTTTATTTACAAAATTTAGCTGATAATCAAAAATATTTTATATTTTTGTTCAGTTCTAGGAATTGGCAAAAATAGAATATATATTTTATGAAATATTGATAGAAGTGTAGTGAATGGATTTTCTTTTTTTCATGGTAATCCTAAAGCACTAAATGAACTGGCTGATAATAACAAAACAAGAGTTAAGATTCTGTCAATCACTGCACAAAGCATATGATTTTGAAATATAACATAGGTTACTAAAATCTGTTCTTATTTTCTTCACTCCATGTCTTGATAACAAACTCTGCTACTAGGCATAGAGTAGGAACTGTTGTATATGTAGGTGTTGGTGCCCCACATTGACCTAACCCTAGTATTGTTTGAAGATAGTTTGTTCTGATTGTGGTACCTGCCAATAAAGTGTAGACTAGCACTTCACCCATAGTTTATGATCACTTAAGCTGTTTGTGAGTTGGAGATTCATGTGTATAGTCATCTTTCCCTTAAAAAATGATAATTGGCAGTTGTGAAGGTTCTGAAGGCAAAATTATTTTCTGGATGATGAAGGATAAAGGTATATGATTCAAGAGGCCCCATAGAGGTGGGCTCCCTTTTGTCACTAGTTCTGTTTCTTCATCATTCCATATGGTAAGCATTTTCATGAGCATATGTTATAGATCCAAAATCTGAACATAATTTTATAAAACCAAATATACTGATGTTTATATTAAATCATTGAATTTGTCTTGAATTTCTTATGGTTGGTATTGAGTGACCCCAGTCACAATAACAAACTGACCGTAATGTTTTAAACATGTAGTACCTATTATACAACTGCCTATAGAAATCATAAAAATATTCATTTGAAGCAATTGCAGGTGAGGCAGGTGGATGTTATGGGTTGTGTCATTGAGATGTGTGTATTGTTCCAGGCCGCCACAACAATGGGGGAGAACCTGCGTGAGAAGGTGGCCTCTATCACTCTGTGGCAGGACGTCACCAGCCAGACCATCCGGGAACTGAATGCCAGTCTCCAGGCGATGCCCAATGATGTGAGCAGCAGGAACACACTCGGCTAGGCCATGCTGTTTTTGTTTTATTGTTGACTAAAATGTGATATTTTCCCTTTAGAGTTTGGTTCTGTTTATTAGGTGTAGTTAACATACTTTGCACTTTCCCATGTTTGATAAGTTTAAAGTAACTTTTAAATTTCTAATCCATCAAAAATAAAAATACTTTATTATTTTTTTTCTGTATTTATTGGCATTTTTTAGTTCAAGACAGTCCATCCATAAACTTAACTATGTAAGTTGTATTTTGAATATGCTGAATTTGTTTTATTGTAGGGAATTGGGAATATTCAGTGTTGTGCTGCCTGTTTCAGATTGATGCTGTAGAGGAAAAGCAGCGCCTTATGAAGTCCGACCTGACAACACGTCTCCAGATGGAAACTGACCATAGGTAGGGATGGATCCAACATTTGGAGTGTCTCAATCCGTCTTGGGAGTTGCAGACCATGTCTGAAGCCGCACACACCAAAACAACCACAAACAGAAACACAACATTACAACAACCACAAACACACCTATTACAATCACAAACACAAACATTTATTCAATGAACACACCTACCTTGTTCTCGTTTCTTCCATAAGTTACCATCCATTACAATCCATCTGTCACCATCCATATGTTATACATCTGTTACATCCATGTTACCATCCATGTTATACATCTGTTACATCCATGTTACCATCCATATGTTATACATCTGTTACATCCATGTTACCAGCCATATATTACCTCCATGTTATACATCTGTTACATCCATGTTATATCGATCGGTTACCTTTTATATTTAATATTCCATGTGTACACTTCCTGCTGATGTCTCCCTGTGTGTTCCAGACTGCGTGATGTAGACAATCTCAAGGATGAAATCCAGCTTCTTAAGAACAAGAAGCCCACGACGAAGGGTGTCTCATCTGCTGAGCTGGAAACTGTAAGTCTCTTCATCATTCTGGAGGATGGGTTTTTGTGCCTGTTTGTCTTGTTTTGTCAGATATGAATGTGAACCTTGTATTTGTACTAATGAAATTATTCTTTCTACCATGAATTCTTGTTGGTTCACAAAATGTTTGTGTTTATTTGGCTTGGTAAATCTTATGACTTCAGTCTTATGTCTCTTATGTCTCTAGATCTGTCAACTAATTTATACAGTTATTCAAGATTAAATTTGCATGACAGCTTGAGGAGTTAATATTTTGAATGGAGTATATACTGCAGACATTTTGATCATAGTAGTTGTTTACAATGTGAGAGTTTTACATTATGTTTTCTATCATTGTGTTTTATGCAGGATCAAGAACGAAAGGTTATTTCTTATCATTTAGATACAAGGTTAAATGAACTAGTTCTTCACCCAGTCAGTCATTCTAGCATCACAGAAAGCTAGCAGAATCACTATTTAGAGGTGGATCACATTTGAGAGAACACACCAAGCCATTCACTGAAGAACAATTAGGGCATAGCTAGTTGTCCCACATCACTCACGTCACATCCTCCACAGAGCTGTGCTCTTCATTATTCCTGTACTTCTGAACTCCCTCCATCAGACCCTGTACATGTCTCAAATAGTCAGTGGTTTCAATCTTTCATTCTTTCTACACTGAAAGGCAAAAGAAATGTCATGTGGATGTATCATATAAATATCTTTATTTTCAAATGCTTACATATGTAAGTAAAGATGTCGGAGAAAGTCAGTGTTTGACCCACATGAAACTAACAGTCTGGGGAATGTTTTTGCGTACTGTGAATTTGGGGAGGCACCAGAAGACATCACAGCTGGGGGGTTCAAAATCAGTACCTGGTGTGGCCACTATGGGCGTTGACTACAGCCATCCATCTCCTGTACATGGAGTGGACTAGCCTGTGGATGAAGGCCATTGGGATATGGGCCCATATCCTCAGGAACGCTACAAGCAGTTCTGCTGCAGTTGTCGGCCTTGGGCGTACGTCGTTGAGTCGGCGTTGGATGTCATCCCACAAGTGTTCAATGGGATTCAAATCCGGACTGAGGGCAGGCCAAGGCATGATTTGGATGTTGTGCTGCTGGAGGAAGTCCCTGGTGACTCTGGCAGTGTGGAGACGGGCATTGTCTTGCTGAAAGGTGTGGTTTTGATGACGGGCAAAAAAAGGCATGATATGGGGTCTGAGGACTTGGTCAATGTAGCGGAGAGCTGTGATGCCATTACCCCTGCCTTGACCAATATTCTGAAAGACCACAGGTCCCACTCTCCGGTTCAGTCCAATTCTGCCCCAAACCATGATGCTTGGGCCGCCCGAAGGGTCTCGTTCCATAACACAAGCATCAGCATAACGTTCGCCCCTCCTTCGCCAGACCCTGACTCTGCCATTCATCGTTGAAACACAGTGGCGACTTTCATCAGTGAAGATGATTCTTCTCCATTGCTGTTGACGCCAATTTGATGCTGCCTGGCCCATTGCAGTCGGGCCTGTCAGTGACGATCTCTCAGGATGGGTACACTAGCAGGACGGTGGCACGAGATGTTGTTGACAGTTAGGCAACGTCGGACTGTACGATCAATGATGGCACGCTGGTGTTTGCCGAGTGGCCATTCGGAATCGGTTCTGCAGATGTTGGCATATCATGAACCGATCTTGTCTGGGAGTAGTGACTCTAGGACAACCACTACGCGGTTGGTCGTCGGTGGTGTTGGTGGTGTTGTGGCAATGTTGCAAACGATATATCATTCTGACGTTGACATTGAATGCATTTGCAACGACCTGTGGACTCTGGCCTGCTTGCAGTCTTCCGATCGCTTGTTGTCTCTCATTTCCTGATAATCTTGGCATGGCTGATGAATCGAAATAACGAAAGCCAGCTTTACAGTTTTGGGTGTCTTTTATACCTATACCACCCACGATATGCACGTGCATCATGTTTTTGACAAGACTTTTCCGCAACTGAGTCCCATTGCACTTTTGTAGGCTGCGTTTGGGCAAAGCACTCCATTTTAAACTCAATTGTTAAATGGACTTTAAGGCAACAAAAAGAAGCAGTAGAACGATAAATGAGTTTATTGACCACAGAACATGTAACTGCCAGTGTCTGTTAAGTTTTATCAGTATTTTCAGAAGTGACGTTTCTTTTGCCTTTCAGTGTACATTCATTTTACACTCAGTTATTAGTAATATTGGGGTGATGTTTGGCCCAGTTGTTGAAGATGCAGCAATTAGCTGTGCAGAGTTGCCTCCCCTAGTTGTGCAAGTATCTGATTAACTGGTTCGAATTCCAGATCCAACTTATGGTTCTTGGTGTGTCAGCACCAAAAGTTTCACCAAAGTGATAAACATCTGCAACCTGCATCACTTTGGCACTTCCCACATTAAGCTGACATACTGTAGTGCACTGTTCAAAGTGGTGTTCACCCCCACTCATGTTCCTTTCTATAGTTTACCTAAATAATATATATCGATCCATCTCTCATTTCTTTCTATCATCAACTTTTCACAACAATCGTCTCAGTGTCATTCTGCATCTGTCTTTCCCTCAACAGGTTCACATAGACTTTACCATGTTAATGCAATCAAGGGATACTCTCATACATCACAGTAATTTCATGACTTACCTTATGTATTCTATTAGCACATTTTTCAGACTTTGTGATAATGTTCTTATTGCCATATGGTTATTTTGAAATAGGACCATAAGATACTAGCCAGGGTAAGCAGCATGCATCACAGTGTGACAGGCATGTGTGTCATGTTGGAGTGGGCATGGTACAGTATTACTCCACTGCAGTCTCATTAAAATCTCCCCAGTATGATACCTCTCTGTGTGAAGGTCTGAGTACACCTCTACAGCGGGTACCTTTCTAATCAGCATCAAGGCTTCTGAAGTCTTGGTATGAGTGAGCAAAGGTTTCTGAAGCATATGTGAATTCCGAAATGCCTAAACATACACTGTGCTATTTAATATATTGCTTTTGATATATTATACATCATGTCGTTTTCCGATCCCCATGGCATCTACACCCAATAGGGAGATGCCATGGGGATCATACTCAAGCGTATAATTGTGTTCTGTGGCAGTTTTGTTTTGCTAAGAACAAAATTTCTGAATCATGGTGGTATAGAATTGAAGCTGAGTCATTTTAGAAAGCTGATGTTTGATCGGCTCAAGAACCCAATCATCCTTCATTTAAATTTTATGGTCAAAGTTCAGTAAGGGTCACCTGACACGACCTTCTGTGGTGTCAGATCTTGATGCAGAGAGATATCTTATCAGAATGAAAGATCTAATTTTAATGAGATTGACTATACAGTACATCCCTATACCTGTCTGTGTCCATATTGATGTACTGGACAGTGTTCATTCCTTGTATATGTGCATGCCAGATTTCTATATGATAATCCCATGAGGATGACACATGTCCTTCACTCAGAAATGACAAATGAAATTAACATATTTTTTTATGGTGATCAATACTCATATTCTTGTCATGTGAGAAATATCTCTAAATATATTTCTACAATGTATGCCTTTGTCCAAAATACTTCATTATGCATATGCATGACTTTGCCACAATTTAAGAAGCATCTGTTATTCTGCCATGTCACTACATTTAGTTTGTGCTCTATTCATATACAGGCATTGGCTAGAAGTTCACCTTGCATAGATCTCCCTAGGGCTCCTATATCAAGTCAGTGTAGCAAACATAACACTACTAATTCTGAACCACAGATGTATACTTGTATCATTCTATGTTAAATATGCAAGGTACAATAGGAAATCAGCACAAAGTTGTATCCTTGTCAAATAATGTGTCAGTGTTTTTACAATGTACACAGTGTAAAAAGGAATTTTTTATTTTTTAATTATTTATTTTAACCCCACACTCCATTAGTCCAGTTATACGACAGTGGCCTGTAAATAGCCCTGCCTGGACCAGACAATCCAGTGAATGATATTATGAACAATGATCCTCACATCAGGGTATGATGACACACAATCAACCAAGTCACCGTGCCTGACCACCCTCATTTGTTCACCTCTTTCGACCAGCATAGCTTTCTGGGGACCCATTCTAACCCGGAGTCAAGGGCTGGGACGAGTCAAAATTTACTACCCAGGTAACAGACACCCTATTACCCGGCCCTAAACGGATACCCGCTCTAGGTCTCAAGAGTTGGGTACAAAATGTCTGAATGGGAATTGTTTTACCGCAGCCCTGGCAAAACTTTTTAGATACACGTATAAAACAATCTGATCATGTATACTCTGCAGTTGATAGACCTTTATCCTTACTCAAACATATAAAAGTCAGAACGAATGCCTGCATAGTGAGAAAGAAATGTGAACATTAGCTATACTTATAGTGTAACCATTGAGTTTTATTGTTAATGTCATTAAACAGTATTTCAAGTGACTAACCACAGGTGCGGGTAGTCATGAGGGTACCCCGGTCCTACTCAGGACCCACCCGACCCGAGTACCTGAATTACCCGTCCCCGCTTTACTGGAGTCCCCACTGGAGATTATATTAGGAACATGTGACACAGGCAAACTTGAATGTTATCCTGTTTGAAGTAAAAAGTTTACACCCTACTGAGGTTTACGTTTTGGGAACTCCCAATAGCCAATGCCTGTATTTTGTCATGCTGAAGCTCTTCTGATCATGACCCACCATTGCCTGCCTGTCACCTCATGTGGTGAAGCTGTATGTCTATACAGTAGACCGTTCCTGTTACATTGTTATTGGACTGAATGCTACATGTAACCATGTGTGTTGTCCAGTCTTTTTACCTGTGTGTTCAGTATGTGATTAATGTACATTTGCCAGGACAAAACATAATATATATTATAATAATGCATGACATAACAATGATGCAAATGTATCAAAAATATATGAAATGCTACAATAAGGTATTACTTGAAATTACTTATAAAGCCAGACCACTTTGATGTGTTATGGAATATTGGATGATGAAGATAATAACAAAAGGGACAGAGTTATAGCATTGTCAAAACTCTGCATAAGGATAATTATGTAGTTTATTCTACATTGCCAGTGCCTGTATATTGCCTATATTTTGAAAATGACTTCATAAAATGCTAGATGTCTCATTATCCTCCAACACTTTTCAACAGCAGATTTCGGTTGATTGCAGTATTTCTCAACTTGGTGTGGACAGATATTTTCTAAATCATTTCCTTTCTTTGCCCATGGTGCTCAAGTAATTTGATGCACTTCGCGGGGAGAGACCTATTGATTATCGCTCTGATCATTTTGACTATGTGCCTCGATTTTGTTTGAAGCCAGTGCAAGTAATATGATAAGTGGAATCTGATTGCTCAGTAGGAGGGTCATAGAAGGGACATAACTCATAATAGCCACTGGTGGCGTTACAATCAAGCCACAAAATTCCAGCCTTGATCGCCAAGGGTGGAAACTGGATGTATATAGTTACAGTTAACTCCCTTGCCTGGGGAAGATGCATTATATCATAATCAACGTAACACTGACAGGACTACTGAGAAGACCATCATTCAATGTCTTATTTTAGAATCCATGTTTGTATTACAATATTTTATCACTTTAAATGACATGCCTTCAAACTAAAATCATACACTCACTCACTAATTAATGCATACCTTATAGTTATGGCAATACTGATCCTATCTTAAAGGCAGAGAAATAATTATCTTTCATAGACAAATTTGACAAAAGACGTAAAGTTGGTGAGCATCCATGAGTTGTGAGGCACTGTGCATGTTTGTGTTGGCAGATACAGCAGAGTGTCCGCAAGTTGGCTGAGTCCATCCAGACAGTAAAGACAGTGCTGGGCATGAAGATCCAGTCAGAACAGAAGCTGGTAAGTCACTGCACCTCAGCAGGCATACAGGGAATATGTGGTATTGTTAGATACATGTCAGTGTTGGTAAGCAGTGGGTGACCAGGTCACCTTTCGGGGGCACGGGTGGCCCAGTCATCTAAGGCGCCGCAATTTGCTGCGCAGAGTTGCGTCCCTTGGGCACGCCAGAAACCTTTGATTGTGGGTTCGAATCCCGGTTCGCCCCGATAATGCTTCTAGGTTTGTCAGCACCATACCCGTGCTCGTGGGTTTCACCGAAGTGGTAAACGTCTGAGACCTGCATCACTTTGGGCTTTCCTCCCACATTAAGCTGACACACCGTGATATAACTGGAATACTGTTAAAAGCGGCGCTAAACCCAACTCACTCACCAGGTCACCTTTCCCTGTATTCATTTACCAAATCCTAAAGATATTTTGAAATTGCTGTTTTGCATATATGCTTTTGAAGAAAAAATTCAAAATTTCTCAGACCTTTGTGCTTATAAAGATCCAATAATATCAAAGTATGGAAATGCCTCAAAACTACTTTCACATTTGGCAATGGGAATAAATAAGTCCTGCATTGTAATGCCGAAATAGGTTTAATTATTTGAAACTAATGCACCTGAAATTATTTGCTGATATTTATCGAGATGCACTCCACACCTTATACAAGGTTTGGTTTGAGCTGGGGATTTTACTTTTAGGCTGGATGTTTTGATAGTACTGATCAGGAGACTGTTTGGTGGATTTCACATTTGAGTCATCCTAATACCTCTGCCTTTCAGAGAATGTCAGGTTTAGAAGAACTGCAATCACAAATATCTGAGATAAAAACAGTATTAGCTAATAACCCAAGCATCCGGTGGCACCCTGAGATTGAGCACTCACGGTCCACAGTACAGAGTGTCCCAGGTTTTGATGTTTTAATGAAGACAGACTTGGAAGAGGAGATCACTGGAAAGAGCTGGGCACTCACACAGCAACATGTTGATGAAGAAGATGAAGATGTTACAAAACCAAACACAAACAGTGAGAGAAGTCATGTCATAAGCAGAGTGCATTCAGATGCTGCTGGGCAAACAAATTCCCTTGGGAGCAGAAACAACAGTGTGTTACATGCATACCTCAACAAATCTGATGTAGAGGATGGAGACAAAGATGATGCAGATACAACCAGAGGGGCTCCTGGTGGCCCTCAAGGAGAAGATGGTGGTACAGGTGGAACAGATGACTGGGGTGGGACAGAAGACAGGGCTGGATCACAGATGGCCCAAGATGGGCCTGGGGAAAAGACAAGAGCTCCATCTGCTGCTAGTCAAACTGGGTCCTTCACAAACAACAGAAATCCTAGCAGACGTCCATCAGAAGGTCATGCAAGGACTCCTAAAAGCAGAAGAAACTCTGGACAGGGAGGTGATGATGAAGGATCCAGACAACAGGCAGCAGGGGGAAGTTCACGGCAAAGGAGAGATTCCCTACAGGATATCTGAGTCAGGAACACATCTGATGCAGCTGCAGGTACAGAGGCACTGGACTAACACAACACATGGCATCATTGGCTTGTTACCCTTAACAAGTGATTGCAGTTCTCAACTAATGGAAAATTATATGTTTGGTTTTCACTAATTTCCCTGCTGTTTTGTTTCAGAATTGAACCTGTTCATCTAATCCACTTTAAATGTTCATACTATTCAATTTTGCTAACCTCATGTTTGTGTGGTTAGAATATGGCTATATTGATGTAAAAATGTGCTGGAGTGCTGATGGATATTCAAAGTTGTAAAAATCTAAGTTATAAGACTATTGAAGCCTGTTCTAAAGTATGGTATTCATGATAATCTTAGTTCTATATTGTACTTAAGCCATATTCTAACCAGTTTTGCACCACTAACAACCCTTTATCATCCCATACAACCCCTGATGAGGTTAATGTCATATTAACCCCCCATTAACCACTATTTCCTGTGATACTACAGCGAGTAGAAGAGGTGAAGGAACTTCAAGATGAAGTCTCTCAGCTCCGCGCCGACGTCCAGCCCCTCCTGCGTAACCGACCCCCAAAACAGTTTATCAAGGGGGATGGTAAAGGAAACGACAGCGATGTCAACAAATGGGGGGTGCGCAATGCCTATAGGTGAGGTCTTGTAGCTGATGACTCCCCCCTTAATATACCATGTAGCCAGAGAAGCAGATAGGATCTCATAGAAGTGTATTAGTACTAACAATTTATTGCTAACAATTTTGTAGTTTATTTTTACAGCAATTAACCCCCCTGTAATTCATAATTATAAATTTATTAATAATGTTTTTCATAAAAGGTATATCTTTCCTGGTATATTACCCCAAATGATATAAACTGTCCAGATTCATCAATCCTGCATGTTTCCTTTTGTCACTTCACATTTGGATGCCAAAACTTCCTTTCCTTTCCGTGTCAGCATGAAAGAGAATTCTTGTTTACAGTTGAATGACTTTATATTTGGTTTAGAAGTGTTACTTGGCAATTATTGTCATTTTGAATTAATTTTTTTTCGAACAATGTAGAATTGTCCGAAGTTTTTGCCTGATCACCATGTAGCCCTGTTTTATTCCTCCCATGTTGACGTAACAAGCCCACTAGTACTAATATTGATAACACAATTCATGTTTGTCGGATGTATTTGTCATGCGTCCCCATCTGTATTGTGAAACAATCCGGTATGTTCATGTTAAACATGTTAATCGAACATATACATTAATAGAACTGTTTCCCACAATAATGAAAATGCTGAAAGGAACGGATTACCAAGTGAAGACTCAATCAATTATGGTCATGTTTTGTTTACATTAAATTAAGCACTAGATCACTTAAGTTTTCAGAAAGATTAACAAACTGCACTTAAAAGTGTTCAATGAAATCAATAAATCAATCAAAAAAAAATCAGAAAATATTTATTGAAAACCATTATTGATGGGCAATAAGGCTGTTTTATCTTATGGTCTGATGGCATTGAAGAATCCAAGACCTAATATTTTCCTGTTTTATTCACAAACAGTGATGGCGCCGAGAAATAGCAGGTAACACTCCATCACTAGCTTCCCATTTCTCCAACTAATCCATGGCAACAGGAGAAAGTCTAGCAAATGCTCTTACTATGAGATTTTAGCCCGGCCATTGTTCTTATAGTGCACATGTCAATGTGATGTTCTTGTATTGTTATTATAGGTGATGTAAGTAGATTATTGTGCCTCATGGCAGGTATGTGTTTGTATTGTACTGTGCTGTGTCAAGCTGTCCACATCGTCTCGTGTCTCCAGGATCTATGTCTCTAGCACAAACATGTTCTTTTTGGGAAAATGTTTCAAGTTAATGTTAAATACATTTAGCCAGTATGTGATACAATAGCAGATTTTGGGTGGGTGTTTTTTAACTGTTGAACAATCTGTAATTCCGTTCTGACTTCGCAAGAGCTGCCTGATGTGGATCAGATGGTTATATTGTGTGACCTGGCTGATTGTGTGTCATTGTACACCCCAGCTGCCATGGCCAATGCTCATGATGTCAACTACTGGTTTGTCTGAACAAGGTTCAATTATTTGATGTAGCTTGAATATTGCTGACTGTGGCATAAAACAAAATTTTATTCTTTGTCTGTTGGACAGCCCAGCCCATTACCAGACATTCCCTAGTGGGATTGTCAAATGTCAAATTCAGCCATCAGAAAGTTGCATATTTTATTCAACAGCATCATTTAAGTTGTAGATTCAGATAAAAAGAAAACATAAGAAAAAGAATTCTTACTTCAGTCAAAATGAATTGCCATAGTTTTTTATGAATAAAAATATGTCTAATATTGTCTACAGTGTGTATGAGGAATCCCTGACATGCCATGCCCTCTGAGTGTAGCTGTAGACTATCTATACTTCTTAGTGTAGGTAGTGGTGTCATTTACTGGTTCTGTATCTGAAATAATGATAGAACAACAAACAATTTCTCACACAAAATAGGTGTTCAAATAAAGGGACACACTTTCCCCACCCATGCACAAGCTATTTCAGGTATTTGTAAGATACGTCTGATGACACCAGAGCCAGGGCTACCTGACTCATGCTATTTTCTTTATCACTAACTATATTACACATTTCTTGTTTTCTAAGTGAAATTATCTTTGAATTTCAGAATTATATTCTTTCACAACATCACATTGTTCTTTAGTTGAACTGTTTATGTTTCTTACAATCTGTCACTGACTGCACCACATGCACACCTGAGCTGATCGCTGTCTGACTACATCTATGGTTTGTTGTCAGGATAGTAGTACCCACAGTGGGGATCCTACCAACATTTACATAAGACAGTACATGTGCTTCCTGTCATGAATTACGATGAAATATAATCACTGCATGTAATTCTTTCTTGGAAACATCAAAAATCAAACTTACTCCAAATTTAAACAGAACCAGTAAAGACATATGAAATTATGTTTATATTGGTGATATACTGAATTGCTGACTTTCTGTATTCTGTAATGGCCCCCTTTTGCTCAAGAAAATGTAGGAGAAAGTGGTATGGTATTTAAATACCTTGTCCCAAGGTCATGATAATTTATTTTGGCAATTATTCAGTGTTTTCTGTACAGATTGGTCTGATCAATGACTAACCTGTACATGAGTTTAACTAGTTGCAAGATTTATGACTCCCAAGTTCCCAACTAATAATTGAATCTTTTCTTGTAGACATGTTTATTTGTAGACATGCAAAGGATATGTTGGTTAACATCAATTCATTTCTCATTTTAATTGATCTCACTGAATCACTTTAATAAACTGCTTTTAGTTACAATCAATTATTATATAGATTAAAACAATATTTGATTTATTATTATTTAAATGTACACAATATGTTTTACAAGATTTTCTCTGTGAGCACTTGAGTGTTCTGTGTTCTGTTGATGTATTGTCAGCACCCTTGATATTCATCTTTACCTAGAGTAGTTCATCAGATTATCAGAATATTGCACTTTCTCAACCAATACTCATCCAAGGAAGAGAATTTATGGATGTCAACTTCTCTATTATGAGGAACACAACTTTTCAGAGTATATGCCTTCGGACTTTGGAGTATATATACCTGATGAAGAAGTAAAAATATACTCCGAAACGTGTTCTCATAATAAAGAAGTTGACATCCATAAATTCTCTTCTTTATGTGTATGACTTCTAATGCCATTCAAAGACTCAATACTCATCTATCGAAGTATCCTATGTCAACATGATGTTATTGGTGCAGAATATAGAGACTTCATATTCATATTCAGATTACTATCAAAGACAATAATTACCTAGTTTCATATAGATTTGAAGTTTACAAGACACGTGTCAAGAGAGGAGGGGCCCCATGTACTGGAGCACCATAAGTTGCCGTCTGTTGGCAGGATCTGCAGATCCTTGGTTCAGATTCTAGATTCATCCCAAGTATGATCCTTGACAGCATCTTACCAATACATGCGTACTACTGTCTTCCCGAGGCAAGGGCGTTAACTGACTATAGGTCCAGTTTCCACCCTTGCCGAACTAGGCTGGAATTCCGGGGTTTCATTTTGGCTGGACTAATGAGTCTATGCATAGTCTAATCAAAATTGCGTGATGAAGTAGATGTCCGGTTTGCAAACAACATGGATTTCAACATAAAATACCATTTTGATAACTCTTCCAGATAAGGCTGCAGAGTATTACCAGTATATCGTCAATTTGAGGTTCTTTCTTTCCACGATACGTAGCACAACATCATTTTTTTAATGCTCGGTATAGCGATTTGTATCATGTGTTTATGTGATACACTGTAATACTTGCCAATTACATGTGAAATGTTCCATAATTCCAAATGCAAGTTCATATTCTGGAGTTCGTCTGTGGCAGTGGTGTAACACAAAGTCATCACTGCCCCAAGCGAGCATGCATCCATGTGTATTTATCGAATGAGTAAACATTATGCTGTACTAGCATCTTGTTTTGTTCCAGTTAAGAACTTCAGTTCCTACATTGATGTTTCAAATTGCTTCTGAATTCAAAATTTACACATCGCAATGCGGCCATGTGCATCATAAAATATTGTGATACACTTTAAACATCCAATACCCATTCCTACTTCCTGACTCTCTCTCCCACAAGAGAGGAAAGAATATGTGAAGAAAGGAGGTTATAACAGATGAAATGAAACCTGACTCTCTCTAAAAGTAAAGCCAGCATATCCTAGCTTACCTAGGAAATAAGTAGCAGTCTGGGGTAATATAACCACAGAAGATTGGAGGATTAATGTTCTGTTGTTATTGCACTGCATGTCTGCTGTTTTATCTCCCTTAAACAGCTGCACAGGGATGTCTTTTTCAGAAACCCATTTGAATTAATTATTATGATTATTATTTGAATTATTCATATAAAAATATCCTTATAATGATACAATATGTTCAACTTATTACAGTGATTTAGGTTCTGCTATATATAGTGTCAGGGAAATGCCTGTTTGGTTTTCTCAGTGTGAGTAGAGAAACCAGGACAGCTCTTAAATTACCATTGTCAGTACTTCATGGTCTTGGATAAAGTACGTTCCTCCATCACCCATGAATATAGGGACGTTTTGCAGAGCAGTTACTATTGTTAAAAATCAAGCGAAGGCCTGGTTCCAGTGGCAGGGAAGCCAGGAAGTCCTCAGACCAATGAGTGTTCTGCTTCCATAGCATAAACAGCAATGTTTCTTGCTTGACAACATGTGCCATAACCCTAGTGATGCCAGTTCTATACATGGCCTATACATGGGTTTTCACAATGTTCAGAGAATATAGGGATTATTGGATGTCCTTGAGTTATAAACAGCCTCAGCAGCTTACTAAACATAGACATAACTACCATACTACACAGAGGATGTATGAATTCATGCAGAGGTGATGGAGAAACCTAATTTATGGCAATCCATGAGGTATTGAGGATATTAAATTACTTTTATTATATGTATAGAAATATTTGTTCAAAAGCATTCAGATTTGAAATTCTTGGAATGACAAGATGCACAATAACAATAACCATTGATAAATGACTGACTGCAAGGTGTTTTTGAAATGGAGGTAAAATCTGATATTTCTCCACTTCAGTTGGCTTACCTGGAAGTCACGCATCATGTACCTTAAATGGAGGAAGTCATCGCGACGCAAGAAGCCTAATAGTGAATCTCCCACACCTAGAAGCAAACCACCCACACCTAGAAGCAAGCCAGCCACACCCAAGAGTCGCAAATCTCCTGGTCCCAGCAAAGGCGACCAGGGAAACGAACCCACCTGGTAGATAGGAAAACCATGAAACTTGTTAAACTGTCTCTTATTCTTATCTCTGGGGTCGTCTGCCTTAATTTCCTACCAGAACCCAGGGAGAAGAAGAAAAAACTTAAGTCTAAATATGTCCAGATTGAAAAGCAGTGATGCATCCTAGCCATACGTTTACTGCACAAGCTATACGAGTATAGATGATAAGACATGCATTTGATGTTGACTATCTCGTTATTGAGTATAAGCTGACACAAAATGAAATTGTTCACGTTATAAACTGTTGCTATATTATTACAATACTGCTGATGCGATGTGATTTTAACTGACTTAGTACAAGATTCACTGAATTAGACCTGTCAATTTTTATTCACTGAAATCTGCTCAGTAGACAAGGTTTGGGTTGAATAATGTGGCCTTATGTTGTTCTTGTTCTTGTATTATGTTCTTGCCATAGGCAAGTCCTGTAAGTCAGTATGATACTGCTGGATGCATCACTGTGATGAGGATGCAAGTACTCCGTCCACATATACTATTATCATATTTACACAAACTATTTATCATGCATAACTCCGTCCATTGTTATCTTCAACCATTATTCAAAAGATGTGTGTGTAATTTCATGCAGGTTTTTTAAGGGATGCTACAAGTATGTGAAATGGTGATATACTGCTCTACCCTTTCATTCCCAGTATTTATTGTTCTTGTTTTAGGAACAACCCTCACACAATTTTAAAATGACTGCTGTTTTATTGTGCCCCTTACCTATTGGCATATTAACCAAGAAATGCAAGCAATAATATTACTAGTATTTAAGGTAATAAAATTAATAGAAAAATCTTATAAGGTTTAATCAGCATGTTCTCCACAAGTAGCAGCCCTACCAACTTGATGCATTATGATTGAGGAAGTTCATTTTGTGCACATTTGTGAGAATATAAATCCCACATAAATATGATCACAGCTTTCACGTATGTTTAACCCACAGAATCTCATCATCCATCACTTCCATCTTAAGTCAAACACTGCACTGCAACATTTCTATTCAATTATAGTTTCTCAAGCTTCATCCACGTGCTTATACCTATGTATTTTCTTTTAAATAAGATAATTCAAATAGTATGTGAAACATGCCAAGATTCCAGCCCTTTTGTGGTTCTTCACAGTTCTGTTGCAAGTATTTATTTTACCAATTCCATGAGTACAGAGTTTTTCAAGAGCTTCTATCTACCAGGGTGTAAAAAATGGCCAATAGGAACTTGCAATATATAAGAGTATATAACAAGAAAAATATTTGTTTATTGTAAAATATAAAATGGCTAAAGCAAACCCTGATGTATAAATATATATTACTAACTCTAACAAATGTATATTGTAGCCTGTATTAACAAATCTCTTAAAAGGGTATTGGAAAAGGTATTGTCTCACTAATTGAAGTTCTAACAGACCTTCACTTATCACATGTTTACAGTTTCTCGTTTACATTTTTGTCAATGGAATTTGGATGATATGACAATCAGAAGTCTGACTCACATTCAACATACATGTCAGTAGTTTGTTAAATATACTACTCAAAAGAAGTTAAAGAAGTCTGGATTTTTTAATATGACTATAGGTAATATGTCATGAAAAATGGGTGTTGTTTAACTTGTTTTGAGTAGTACATGTTTTCAGGTATGTTTCCTACCTCGGAGACAGTGCTAGATCTGATGGCTGTTAAGTGCCTGTAGTCTTATTAAGTTGCTGTAACTATTCCAATCACTGTCCTTGATTTTAAATGGTTAATACTGTGTGTACCATTTCTGTTAAATCCTTTCATCATCCTTGACTTGTGCATCAAATGTGCATGATCACAACTAAAACTGCTTAGGTCATGGTTATATATTTGTATTGACCCTTCACACCTAATCCCCCCGCCCCCCTCATTCAGTAAGCACACAGTGATGGCACGTACAGACACCTGATCATCGCAAGGATGTTGTGTCATTGTGGGAGGTTTAGTTCTCTTGGAACTATGTACTGACTGTGATATTGTATATGTTGAATCTCCTGTCATGTATAGCAGTCCACTGTGCCTTGACATTCCAGACACATAACGCACACTGACTGTATGTGGCAGGCACAATAGAACCCTGGTAACAGATCCTTGACACATTTGGACCCCTAGTAACAGACACTTTTTGACTTACCATAAGGACACTTAAAGTGGACACTTGACACATTTGATCCTTATAGCAATAGACATTTGACACATTTGGACCCCTAGTAACAGACACATACCCAGTAACCATTAGAGCCCGAGTTACTTACACTAGACACATTTGGACCCTAGTAACAGACACATGACACAGTGGGATCTTCAGTAACAGACAAATGACACAGTGGGATCTTCAGTAACAGACACATGACACAGTGGCATCTTCTGTCACGGACACATGACACAGTGGGATCTTCTGTCACGGACACATGACACAGTTGGAACTTCAGTAACAGACACATGACACAGTTGGAACTTCAGTAACAGACACATGACACAGTGGGATCTTCTGTCACGGACACATGACACAGTCGAATCTTCTGTCACAGACACATGACACAGTCGGATCTTCAGTAACAAAATCATGACACAGTCGGATCTTCAGTAACAGACACATGACACACTGGGGGCCTTAGTAACAGACACATGACACATTGGAATCCTTAGTGAGACATGCATCAGGATTACCAGTAACACACAACACATTCATCAATTGAAAGACATCCATGACGCTTTTAGTGTCAGAAAAGATTTGCAAAGCATCTGGTACTTTTCTTTAATTAGAGACACACGTACTGTAACACATTGATAACTATATACCTTTTTTCATAGTGCAGTCGCATTTGGTAATGTAAGACACTTCATTGTGTGCTATATTTGTCTCAGACACTAATATTTAGCACTTGTGCCACATGAATATTTACTTTGGACTGTAAGTAAGGTTATAGTGACGTACACTTTTTCAAATACTAAATCCATCCTGATCAAATATCACAATTGTTTAGATCAAATCACAAATCTGAAACAGTATTTTTAATCAAAATTACTTCTAATCTCCATAAATAGAAGGTGCAGACATGTACCACGAATGCTGATGAAACTATACACAATTTATTGAGTCATCTCAACACATTCAGTGAAGTTGTCTTCAGGGTTCTGGCCAGCTATAAATAATGGCTACTGTATTGAATATATGCCTGTGATTTGATTCCAAGAATTGTGTACATAGTTACTTTGTGTACATTGATATTTATAAAGTGAATGAGTATTTATTGATGCTGTTAATCAGATACATTCTCCATAGAAAGTTTCATTTTGAAAAATATTTCAAAACTTATGCTCCTGTGTCATTTTTTAGTGTTTTAAGTGATTCAAATTCAAATGCGGTTAATTGACATTGTGATATTTAGTCATACATGTATTTTAATGTAATGCAGATTATATTTTTACATGCATATACGCACTAGTTAGACCAGATATTTGGAATGTTTAGTTTTCAATCAAGTAACTTGTATTATGTCTTTGTGCCATTTCTTTCCACTGGTCTGTCAACTATGGTAGCTTGGTAAGGTATAATCAGAAGTCCACAACAAATTAATTATTAAATTTTGCCGTCTAATTATTGTAGGTTCTCTGTATGTTTTAAGATAAATTAAAAAAGTTTGTGGTCTTGACCTGAGTAGAATGCTTTGGGGAATGATTACAGCCAAAGTGTTTAGATATGAAGGACATGTTTAATTGTCAGAAGCAAAACCATCAGTGGTGAGAGGTTGTATAGTGAAACTATACTCATCATCAATACGTGACAGGTTTTGTACACACCACTTTCCTCCATCGAGTGTTCTCGTCTACCCGAAGACCCGGGTTTGATTCCTCACATGGGTACAATGTGTGAAGCCCATTTCTGGTGTCCCCCACCATGATTTTGCTGGAATAAATCTAAAAACGGTGTATAACCATACACACTCACTCCATCGAGTGTACATATAAAGCCTGTGACGTATTGACCGATGGCTCAAACTTAACTATGGAAGCACTCATATAATCACTTTATAGATACAGTTGTTGAGACCAGTTTGAAAATATGCTATTTTCTATCAATCAGTTTGTTGTAACAATGGGAGATAATATATTCAAATGTTTATAAGCTTGATTTAATCACAGCAATGTGACAAATATCTAGCTGTATTGTCAACTTGTGAAAACATAGTTAAACTGAAATTTGGAAATTTGAAATACATCTGTGAGCATAATGTTATGTATACAAATCTGTTGTTCAGCTAGAAATAATTTACATGAATATATTGGAAGATGAAGCTAGGTATCCAAGCTGTAAGTTGATGTTAATTTATTACCACTATCTACACTCAACAAAGGAGTAGTTATTAGATGACATGCCCAAACTTGCTTGTAGCTTTCTGACACCCTCCTTTTCGTTTTCATTTTCATTTGTGTCTCAATGGTTTTCAAAAGTGAATCAAAACTGACACATTTCTTATTTAATGTGATGGATCTAATTGCAGAAAGGAGGGCAAGGTGGCTTTTCTATGCTTATGTCCTGTAGTATATATATATATATGAGTTATATATATATATACAGTTACAGGTTGTTATGGCATGATTTAAACACAATATACTCATAATTGATATTTGCGATTTATGTCAAATTTAAGAATGTTACACTACTTATTTGTTGATTTTATTTATTTTGTTGTGTTAATTGTCCTGTGATGCTCTAACCAAATAAACTATTCTTATATCTCAAGTTTTGTTGTGTTTCTGACAAAGGCCAAACCACTAGAATATTCTATGGTCCAAAGTCTGAAATGTGATACCTCTCAAAATTCAAAAGGTCAGCGCCAGACATTAATCAATCAGTCTCAATTCGCTGCCAAAACACATTCCATTCGGTATAAAAGGCAGAATAGTGATGGAAATTGTATGAATGGATTACTGAAAATCATTGATGACACCAGGTATTCCCGAATAGGGTAACGAATAGGGTAACCGGCCCTGCTACAGGCAGAACCCACCACTCACACAATTTGCATGCTTTGAATTTGAGAGCTAAAACATTTAACAGATGTTATTATATTTGAAGCATAACATGATGCCTTGTTAATAGTTTAATGAGTTGACTAAAATGTAAAATAATTGAATATACTCCAGTAAAATCCTCATTTTTGAAAAAACAGTAATTCCTTGACAAGAGGAATGGATTCCTATTGACAACTTATAGTTGCCGTTTCTCTAATATGAATAAATGCATTTTATTCATGATGTTTAAAAATATAGTCATCTGTCATTTTAAATGCTAAACCCAGTACAGTATAAATAAGTGTGTTTACCACTTGTTTCATAAAATTACAAGCATCCGTACCGAAGTGTTGCACTAAAAGAATAATAGAAGTTGGAAGTCCATGAGTCAACTCTCTCAACACAAGGAAACAATACATTTATCACAACAACATACACAGATATTTACGTCTTCATGTAAAAGGTTTTTTATCATAAACTGATGAGCACTATATTATGAGATACAATTTTCTGGGAATATATTTATATATTTAAAAAAATTATGAATTATAATCTCATTTCAAAGATCGCCTTGACTACACGGTTCTCTTACGTACTAACAACCCCATGTACTTGTGTTCATGATATAGCGTAATTTCAAGGGCAAACCATACACAAAGACAGCCTCTGATTTTGGAGAGCTAGTGTTTCTGTCAAACAGTATCCGATTATGTCGCGGTGATTCGCGTAATTTGTCAGAAAATAAATAATAACATTAAATGTTCTCACGTATTTATGTCTGATACCTGTTTCGTGCCATGGCCATATTTACTTGGGTTTTGCATTCAGGTTCATGCGCGACATTCCCACGGTTATGTTGACATTTGGAATATTAAGGACATTTCTTTATAAAAGTAGTTAAATAAATTATTAAACTCCAGTGTTTCTTGTGTATTTCTTGACAATTTGAACATTTCAAAATATCCGTGTAATACTGCAGTACGCCTGCAGATTAAGCACCAACAAATAGTATCGATGGAAGACAAAGTTAAGTGAAAAATGGAATAATATGACAAGGGGCTGTTTAACCATTTACTAGGAAATAGTAAATATGGACGTGTAGCTTTAAAGCTGAAGTATTGTGAATCTTATACGGAATATTTGATTTCACATATTCTCAAATCGATTCTGAATACACTAGATATTATAAGTGCTCGTCAAAGGACAATCCAGAGCCAACACGGTCGTAGTGACATGTGCATCTTATTTACTCAGTAGGGACTAGGAACATATTAAACTCTAAATACTCTCATCGACATGTAGTTTAGGTTGAATAGTCACTGTATTATCCCCAGTCGTCATGAAGTTAAATATAACTATTTTCAAGTATCTGCAAAAATATTTCTACGTTGATACATATTCTGCTTGCAGCGGATGAGATGGTTTTGTAGTGATTAAGATAAAAGGTATTAGTTTAGTTTAGTAGGAAGATAATATGTACATGCGCCCGTATCTTCTATATTTACTACTTTGTATAGGGATGTACTATTATGCAATGATGCATCAAACAGATCGACAACCCATTCAAAACACTGGACTCAACTCATGTCGCTTCACTCAATATATTTGCTAACACCAAAGAGTTCGCGTTTTATTTAGCCATGGTTGAATGGAGATAAACATATTGTGTTTTCAATGTTCAGATAGGTTACCTGTAGATTTAACCGTGCTAAATTGAATCTGGAACCGAACCTACCTGTATATTGAATACACATCTCCTAAATAATCTTGGGTCACTGTCTTGGCCATACTTAGATTTTCACTTTTATTTTAACAATACTGCAGTATGCATATGCTCATGTCAGTAGTCCAAGATCCGGGTTAGAATAGATCTTCAGCAACCCATGCTGGCAACTAACGGGATCGGGTGGTCAGGCTTGCTAACTTGGTTGATGCATGTCATCGTTTCCCAACTGCAACTGCATGGATCGGTACTCATGACATCAATCACCGGATTGTCTGGCCCAGGCTCGATTTACAGACCGCTGTCATATAGCTGGAATATTGTTGAGTGCGGCGTTAAACAACAACAAAAACCAGTAGTCCAAAACTTGCAAGTGTAAGCAAGAAAAAAGCTGATTGTCGGCCATTTAAACATGTGTAATACGTGCCATACCGATATTTCAAAGTTTTCAGCAACTTTAGAATTTGACAATTCAAGTGGCCCCCAAAATGGGTTTTATCAAACTAACGTTTTTTGGTCAGGTTTAGTAAAGTTTTCAAAAAGTTTCATAGTTGACATATGGAGGAAATTTCAATTTTGTTATGAATTAAGTGGTATCATGCCATTTCCAATTTTGACATTTCCATATGTCCCGTGGTCTTTTTTATGTGGACAATTGACTTGCCGTTGCATGCGTTTGTAACGGATGCCACTGGTGGGGCAGGATACGCTGATCTTTTCGGGAACCCATGGTATCATCACACTTTGATAGCGATTCATAAACACATACAGTCGGAATCGTTCAATGGACTCTACTCTACTCTCTCTCTCTCTCTCTCTCTCTCTCTCTCTCTCTCTCTCTCTCTCTCTCTCTCATACACACACTCATGCAGGAGATTCAAAGTTGGGACCGTTTTCATTTTGTTATACGTATGTTTCGAAACATACACTACTCCACTATTTATAGTGATATTACTTTTATCTTTCCATGATACACAAAACTGACTCTCAATTTGTCAGGTGTACATTTGTATAGAAAGACATATCTGATTATCCCTATTAAAAGTTGAGTAGTACATACTCTAGTCCGGTGTATGCGTTAACTATCGGAAACAAGTGGTTGCGGTTACCTACTTGTATACTACATCGAGATTTTTATTTATGTATTTTTCAAAATTCCTTCAAAGACTTGTATATATAATACGTCAACGCGGAAGTAACCATTATCTCGATTATCCGACGAAACATATTGGACGTAAAGGGCCAAACTGAAAGATTATGATCTATTAAAATGTCAAACAACTTTGTTGATGTGTGCATATGTTTAGGTCAGTGTGAAGCTAGTTTCAATCCTGGTTAGTAATGTACAACGATATGAAGGAACATTATGTAATATATTTTCGTTCTTGCTCATCTGGGCAAAAGAATTAAGGGCTTTGTGTTTTTGTTTGGGTTTTGTGTATATACCAATGAGTTTTGACCAATTGTATCATCAATATCGTGAAAATTACGATTAGTCTTCAGTTCTTAGTATATGTATATGTACAGTTCCTTTATTTCCGCTGGAATATATATGCATAGGTGGATGTTGCACAATGTCACGTGGTTCTAGAACAGACAAGCGAATGTTTTCCCAACTCAGACGTGCATTAGCCATCACCACAACGCCACAATTTCCCTGTATACGGGATGACAGATTAAAGATCAAACAATGACAAATGGTAATGTATAAGAGAAGTATAAACATGGGTTTTAATTTGGATGTAAACTTGGTGGAAACTGCCAATACACGCTGTCAAAGTCCAGCGTTTGATGCCCCGTCTGTGTCAACGGTATCCCGCCGTGTTGAACGTCACAGGAATGCCTGGGCAACCTGGTTCTGGCTCGGTTCTTGTGATAGCCTCTGTCATGCTGTTTGTGTATTCGGCCAGATTAAAATGAAGAGTTTCAGTCACCGTTCCGCCTTGTCAAAATTTCGCTTTCGAATGAGCGATGTGATCTACTACATATGTGTCACTGCTTGTCTGTTTTAGAAACGTTTCATTTTTTTACTTGAATTTGTTTTTGACCACCGTGTTTATTTTGCGTCGATCAGTTTTAAAACATGAAATTAGATCAAATGTAGGTATTTACCCGGATCTGTCTGTGTCGAGTCCATGTGACTGCGCAATAACAAGTCCAATGCATGAACATCGCGGCCCTGCGCTGGCGATATGTAACACGCCATTTTCAACGGGTATGCCTATAGGACGCCGTAGTTCACGTCCGGAATAAGCACTGGCAAATGTAGGATTATGGTTTCAAGAATATAAAAACTGTAATATGCATGTTCCTTAAACACCGATGTGGTGCCACTGACATTTGACCAGCAACACTGTGCAATAGCCATCGTGTATTTCATGTCGTGTGAAATATGTTACAGCCACTGGCGAAGGAGTGAGGGTATGCAAGGATTTACGTTCGTGGATGGCGCTATACTTGTCAAACCTCAACCCGTTACAGTCCTACCACTACTCTCCTCGTCCACCTGGTCCCGGCAAATACTGGGGGCACGTTTGGCCCAGTCGTCTAAGGCGCCGCGATTCGCTGTGCAGAGTTGCGTCCCTTGTCCACGCCAGAAACCTATGATTGTGGGTTCCAATCCCGGTTCGCCCCGATTATGTTTCTAGGGTTGTCAGCACCATACCCGTGCTCGTGGGTTTCACCGAAGTGGTAAACGTCTGAGACCTGCATCACTTCGGGCTTTCATCCCACATTAAGCTGGCACGCCGCGATATGACTGGAATACTGTTAAAAGCGGCGTTAAACCCAACTCACTCACTCACTCTGGACAATACTTCAGCTGTTTTGTGTATCATTATAACAACTGTTTCACTTCGAAGTGTGCGTTGCTCTATTTTCGTACTAAGATGGCAACAGGTCTATAGTACAATGTATAATTATACAGTATTGAGCAATAGACTGCCTTATGCTACATATATACTCATCGACGAAATAAACGCGACTATCATACATGTTGGTTAATC